GATGACTGACTGACTGACTGTCTGATGAGTTCCAGCTAGCACGAAATCTAGGTCCGGGTAAGGCTTCCTCTAGCCGATTTCCTCCAACAACTATTTGATATCATCAATTCAATGTGTGCACCGTGATGGCGAGCTAGCCACCTAGTGGCATGGTGGCCACATTGCAAACCTGATTGACTGACTGACTGACTGACAGAATTCAATCTGCACCATAGAAAGGACTAGACACGTGTGACACTAGTTACTAGTGTCAAATCAAAATACTTAATACTGTATCTATCTATAGAGAAAAAAATGAATTGAAACTTTTAACAACAGAGGGATGGGAAGAGAGGGTGCGAGAGACAGAGAGTAGGCGGGGATAGCAATCAGTTACCAACGGACACAATGTATTTTCTCAGTCTACTAAACTACATATAGGTCGAAGGAAGATGGAAGTGAACGCTTCTTTCCACTGACTATGAATGGAAATATATGACAAAGGTGGTATAATTTTCTATACACTAACCCTCCTCCCACAACACCAAAACTGAATGGATGACTTCAATTCCTCCTCATTTTTGTCTAATTATTTTAAACAGATAAAAAAAAATGTGGAAAATTCATCAGCAAAAGGGGGCAGTGAAACAAGGATAGTCATTTGGGAATGTATTCAGTTTTCATGAACAACTGGGGTATATATACATGGAGAGAGAGAGAGAAAAGGAGGTGGGGAACAATAATGAACATTTCTGTATAAAATTGCACCAGTTCAAGTTGTCATACCTCAATAGGGGTCAAATTTGTTTTGATAAAGTCTCAAAGAGTTGTCATACAGTCAATGTTTACTGATGACCACGTTTCGAGCACAGTTTTCATTACTGCTCATAATCATTATCAAGGTACTCACTGACACAACTTTCTAACTTCATTTATATAATTCTATCAGTATTTCTCATCGCTTGATTTCAATTCCAAGGCGAAATATATAGACAAACAGAAGGTGTAGCAATGAGATGGATGATCACCAATATCCCTTATAGTAGGAGATATTTTTTTTTCACTTATCTCCAGCTTCTTGACACATATCAGCTCACTAGTAGAGGGAATAAAATTCACATTTGAATCGGCAAATGAACAAGAAGAATCACCTGTGATGTTAGATTGTTAAATAAAACAAATAGAAGAAGGCGAACTACACACACTAGTGTTTATAAAAAGCCAACGAATTGTGATAATAGATAATTCATCTTATCCGTTGAGTGTTAAGGCAGGTTTAGTTACGTGTCTTACAAACCGAGCAGTAGCACTAAGTAGTACAACAAAAGACCTAAATGATGAAATAAAACAGATAGAAGAAGAAGCGTTGGTGTTAAATAACTAACTATCCTATAAAATTCATTAGGAAGATGAGAAAAGGTAAGAAGCGAAATAAAAATAATGGTGAGACTAATAATGATAATATAAATAAGAGAGAATATAAGACATCTACAACAGCAATACCATATGAGGAGGGGATATCTGAGACACTTCCTACGTAGGATTCTGAATAACAAAGAAGGAATAAGACTGGTTGTGGCATTTAAGCCCACAAACTGACTCACTCATGTAGGACAAGCTCTGTAGGTTAAGTTAAAGGACCCTGTCGGTTGACCTAATTAGACAAAATAATAGAATTTACAAAATACCCAGCAATGTATGTGAGTTAGGTCAACTACCTACATAGGTCAAACTAGTATATCGGGGTTAACCAAATTGTCGGAACATAAGAATTTAGTTAAGGCAAGAATGGTTGACCCCACCCGCGATGATAAGTAATTTAGAAAATAGCTCAAAACTACATTGCACTGCACGCATTAACACACAACCACACAATAGGATGGTGGGAGAGGGTTAAGATTCCAAGAATTAATCTATGTAGGTGGAGAGAGAGAGGTTGATTACTGAATCCTGACTGGTTCATCGAGTCTGCACCCAACATGTGCAGTAGGAATGACTCATATGGGAAATACCACTACTACCATCAAATCAAGTGTTGAGAAATAGTGGAACTATATAAACGAAGTTAGAAAGTTGTGTGAGTACCTTGATATGATTATGAGTGGCAATAGTTTGTGCTCGAAACGTGGTCATCAGTAAACATTGACTGTATAACAACACTGTCAGACTTTATCAAAACAAATTTTACCCATAATGGAATTATACTCTACCACCACAGTGCACAAGTTTTATTCTTATATCAACTGTCATACCTCAATCAGGATTGTGCAAAAAAGGAAAAGAAAAAGATAAACTGAAATGAAGAAATATTGAGATGAAAGTCGAAGAGGAATTTACAGAGAACAAATACACAAACAGTCATAAAGTATAGTTGAGTTTAAAATAAGGTGACATCTGAGCAACGCGTTATCCTGGATTCCCCTGCTAGTCACCATCCACCAATTAAATTCTAATTACATGCCCAGACATCGTCGAAGCATCGGCTCAAGAACCCGGCCGACAGACATGTCAAGCTGAGACCGAGCACTTTGCTCCAATCAATCAATCAATCAATGGACGGGAAAATCTAAAACTCAATTCAATTAAATAATTAATATGACCCGTTGCACAAGAAGTGGGGTGGTCAGCTCTCATGGCCCAAGTGGTCTTGTGGTTAACGCTTTCGCTGGCGTTTGAAACTATGGGCTCTGGGTTCGTGCCTCGGTGGCGGGAACATCGTCACTGACTGTGGAATGCAGGTACATCTTGTTAGCTAACGAGTCCCAAATAGGACGGGTGAAATGCGCATTATCCTGGACTGGATTCAACTGCTAGTCGTCACCATCCACCAATTAAAATACAGATAAACGGGAAAAAATACTTTCTGAATCTTAATGCCTTTGAATTACTTGAACGTGTGTTTACAGTATATGAGACATAAAAAGCTGTTAACAACAGTAGAGTGAAAGAACAATTCACTCGTCTGTGTGATAGAAACCATATAAGCAGAAATTGAAGACAAAACAAATTACTTCAAATGAACTGTCTGTCATCAAGATTTGACAGAATAGTTCTAAAATATTTGGGCGCCGAGTGAGTAGATATTTGTAAAAAATTATTAAATTTGTAAAATCTCAGCGAGATTGAAATGAGTGATTCCAATGTCTCGTTCAGCAATCTGGTCCGAAATTCTTCAGGGTGTGATGTTAGCGGATACATGGGAAATCCTGATTAATAAATAAAAATGGATATGTATCACTAATTTATAATACTTTGTCAGAGTTCCCGACTATCTATATCTTCTTATGGAGTAGTTAGGAAATTGTTTTACAACTGTTTACCCCCCCCCCACACACACATACACACTGTGTTTAAAGTGTTTAACATAGGTAGACCAATATTTGTAAGTCGGAGGTCAAATTTTGATCACAGTTCATACAATCTTGTTCATTATACAACATGTTGATGCCTGTTTCATGGCTCATATGATTGGACAAAGTTCTTTTAAAAATAAGAGATGTCCCCCTTTTCTGCATGTAAACCTCTGTTATGTTAGTCTCGATATTAATTTCCGTGAAGAAGTTCGGACTAGATTTCGACGAACGCAGGAAACGTTGGAATTACTCATTTCAATCTGGATAGTGTTAATAGAAGACGGAGATTATCTTAAAAAAAATGTGATATGATGTATTTGCGCAATAAATTTCGAACAATCTGATCCCTCACACATTGACTTGTCAAGTCAATATACATATGAAAAAGTTAAATTAAACAAAGTGACAAAAATAGGAATTAAGGATGATTAACACAACCTATCAAAGAAAAACCGGAGCTGTGCATTCAAAAGAAGATTACTCAACCACTTCTACTGTCGTGGTAACAATGTTTTGATTTGTTTTGAGTTTTTATTTTTATTTTGATGACTTAATTTTGTTTCTTTGCCTGTTCTTTAATTGCTTATAATTCTTGTATTCACTAAGATCTCTTACATAATTTCGTACCACCTACTTTGTTTCTATGTGCATCCTGAGTAAAACTCACTCATCAAACTATTCATATTATTATTACATAACTTCTTTTTTTAACAACTGTTTGTGACAACTCATCACCTTTGTTACTACCCTAGTTTCATTTACATCTAAATTTCTTGATTTGTATTTAGTTAAAATAATAACCATAACCAATTGTAATTTCAATAATTAATATGACCCGTTCCACAAGAGGTGGCTCTCGTGGCCCAAGTGGTCTAGTGGATAACGCTTTGGCGTTTGAAACTATGGGTACTGGGTTCGAGCCTCGGTGGGAACATTATCACTCACTGAGAAATGCAGGTACATCCAGCTGACGAGTCCCAAATAGGACGAAATGCGCATCCTGGATTCCACTGCTAGCCACCATCCACCAATTGTATACAATTGTAATTTTGTTTGACAAACTTAATGTACACATACATACAAAACAACATATATATATATTTGCGATTGTACAGCTAAGAAAATGAATTCACCGACGAAAAGAGACTCTTCGCTGATCTACGTGTTTTGTTTTCATTAACGTTTGGTTATCCAATCAAATGTGCATTACCAACGTAGGTAGGTTAACAGTAATAATAAACTGTCTTCGAATACACAGGTGGGGTGTGGGGGAGAGGGCTCAGGTTTATGAATAGCTATAGCCTCTACGTATTTCAATAAGCGCCCTTGACCGTTTTTATAGGTGACCTGAAAGGTTGAGTTAACATCAGTCTTATGGTTCATCTGGATTAGATGTTTAGCTTAGCTATAGACGAAGTTGGTAGTCTGACTGACACCTGCATCTCTTGGTTTTCTACAATTCATTTGTTTTTCTAACCATTTTGGGATATGTTCGCTGTCCCACCCAACTCACATGCAAAACACGATTTCTCCTCCCTATGTATGTGTGTCCACACATTTCAATCTCGCTGAGATTTTACAAATATAATTTTTCTTACAAAACAAATTACAATTGAAAAAGGAAAAATAAAGGAGAAGAAATTAATCAGAGAAATAAACTTAACTCACCACATGACTACGATATGTTTCCAAATACTGTTCATTGTAGGAACATGAGCATTTGTGAATGAGACCGTTTTCAGCACCAACTAGATAACTTTGATTAAAAAAGGAAATATTTTATTAATTGGTTTGACAATTTCTTACTTTTAACTGATTAAAAATGCCCATGGAAATTGTTTTCAACAGAAACGATAGATACTGAACAAAGATAACCCCTTCATCATCATCATCAACAGGCTCTACAGTTAGTGATATATCCATCCATTATAGTGAATGAATGAATTAGTGTTATGAACAACATTAATTTTGCTGTGGGAATAACATCGAATGAATAATATTGACAGATTACAGATAAATAGCATCAACATAAAATAAGCTGAATGTCAGAAAAATAAGGAAAGATAAGATTACAAATTCATTAGTTTATAGTTTCTATTGAAGGCCAGGGCAGTAACAGGGGCTGGACTTGCTTCTTTTGAACACAGAGCACTGGTTGTTTGAGGTGAATTACAATAGCCTCTGCTGTTTGGAGCCTACGGTGCCTCGATGATTTTGGATTCTTCCACGCTGTCTTTGTGGCCGGTTTGCACCACATGGTCCAGTACCGAACTGTTAATGGTTTTAACAACAACCATAGTGGGATATGTTCTCGAGCACGAAAAATCAAGTTCCTAGAGCAACGGTCGATGTAACTGTCTCCACCACAAGTGCAGTTGAATTGGTAGATACAATTTAAAGTGGCCAGCTAGTCTAGGTACTTCATCTTTCAGTCGAGGAATCACCATCGCTCCTGTAGAGAATAAAACGTGTAGTTCGCCGCCAGCATTAAAAGTTCTTTGAACAGATTTTCTTAATTTCTTCGTAATTATCTCACCCGGTATATCGATCGTCCTTGAATTGCAGTCGTTATAAAGTGGCTTCTTGTCTACGGATAAATAGATAGTGAGTAAGCTTTATCCGCCCCTTTCTTTGTCATGTGTTTCTTGATAAATTTGTCGGGATAGCTATTTTTGATCAATCAAAGTATCATATACAGAGCTTACTTAATTCATCTTTAATTACTTCTTCTGAGCATTTTTTTTTCTTTTTTTGGTTACAGCTTAATTCTATACTGTATTTTTGGTACAGGTATAGAATTTTCAGCATGGATATCGGTTGCCCAAACTTCGCAGGCCGACCACAGATATCAGGGGTGCGTCGGCAGGGGTTCGAACCTCGCACCATGTGTATGGTCGGCGAGAGTCCTAACCACTGTGCCACCGATGCACATATATCTCTAACTAACTCTGTGGCCGAGGAGGGTCTTTACTAAATTTCTTTTGTACTTGAGAGGAACGAAGCTATGAAATGCAAATTTCTTTTGATGTTATCTTCTTCTTGTGTTTATCTGGTTTTCTTGTAAGGAGGACTGGTATCCAGAAAGGCAATTCTGTTTTAAGTTTCACTGTATAATCAATAGTTTTTAATACCATAAATAAGTGTGAGTCTGATTTAATTTGTCTTAATTCCAAAAAAAATTAATAACATTTGTTCGGGTGTGCGTCGGCAGGGGATCGAACCTCGGACCATGTGCATAGTCGGCGAGAGTTCTAACCTCTGTGCCAGCGATGCCGTCAACCATCTGCAGGCGATTCTACTATGTATATAATACACTAGTTTGATTTGACACTAGTAACTAGTGTCACACGTGTCTAGTCCTTTCTATGGTGCAGAGTGAATTCTGTCAGTCAGTCAGTCAGTCAATCAGGTTTGCAATGTGGCCACCATGCCACTAGGTGGCTAGCTCGCCATCACGGTGCACACATTGAATTGATGATATCAAATAGTTGTTGGAGGAAATCGGCCAGAGGAAGCCTTACCCGGACCTAGATTTCGTGCTAGTTGGAACTCATCAGTCAGTCAGTCAGTCATCAAGGCGTATCTGCAACCACATTGAAGGAACAGCTCATGTCCCACCCATCTGAGGAGCTTCTAACCCACGTCACCCAGTACCGCCTACAGTCACAGACGTTATCACTGATAGAATTCAGTCTGCACCAAAGAAAGGACTAGACACGTCACACTAGTTACTGACTAGTATCCAATGAAAATATCCACTACAGTCCTACAGGAGATCAGTCGCGATCCAGACCAAATAGCTAGCTCAGTGGTAACGTCTCTGACTGCAGGCGGCACTGAGTGACGCGGGTTCGAATCTCCTCAGATGGGTGGGACATGAGCTGTTCCTTCAATGTGGTTGCAGATACGCCTTGTTGGCTGACCGGTGAGTTCCAACTAGCACAAGACCTAGTTCCGGGTAAGGCTTCTTCTGGCCGATTTCCTCCAACAACTATTTAATATCATGTAATACACTGTTATACAACAGTTAAAACTGTCACTAGAAGCAAACAGCACCATCTTTCGTTGGCTCAGTGACATTCCTTAGGGTCAACATAGTATGAATTCCTCTTGTCTGCTTGAAGCTTATGCTTCATGTTGCATCAAGCAGGTTTTCACTTGTTAAAAGTCAAGATTTTCAAGCGCTGGTTTTGTAGGGATTTTGTTTGATTGCATGGAGGATTTCATCATGAGCTGTCATCATTTAGAGAACCACTGGAAAGCCAACCAGGGAGTACTGGACAGCTAGCTGTTTCGCCACGCTATTTTGGGACTCTTCATCCGTACGCACCCACCCCCCACTGACAGGGTTCAAACCCAAGACCTTCTGGTTACAAGGCCAAAGAGCTAGCTCGTAGACCATTGAGCCACTGGGACCCAATTCAATGGTCGGTGCATTAATTCTAACTTCTGCCAATTCACGACATAGCGCGACCGTTTTGCAATGTTTTCCTTAATGAATTCATGGGCCATTGGATTGGGTCCCAGTGGTTCAATGGTCTACGAGCTAGCTCTCTGCATTTGTAACCAGAAGGTCGTGGGTTCAAACATTGGCGGCGGGTGCGTACTGCTGAAAGGTCCCAAACTAGGGTGACGAAACAGCTAGCTGTCCAGTACTCCCAGTTTTTCCAGTGGTTCTCTAACTGATGTCAGCTCATGGTGAAATCCTCCATGCAATCAAACAAAATCCCTACAAAACCAATACTTGAAAATTCATCTGATGCTCACTAGTGACTGGCCCTATTCAGGCAGTTAACCTGGGCTTCTAGTGGGAAGCCGTGACCAGTAGGGTACAGCAGGTTGAAGATGAGGCAGTAACTCATGGAAGAAGACATTGCGAAGTGGTCGCACTATGATGTCGTGAATTGGCAGAAGTCAGAATTCAAGGACGATTGGATCGGGTCCCAGTGGCTCAATGGTCTACAAGCTCGCCTTGTAACCAGAAGGTCCTGGGTTCGAATCCCAGTGGGTGCGTACTCCCGAAGAGTCCCAAACTAGGACGAAACAGCTGTCCAGTACTCCCAGGTTTTCCAGTGCTTCTCTAACTGATGTGTCAGCTCATGGTGAAATCCTCCATGCAATCAAAGAAAATCCCTACAAATCCAATAATTGAAAATGAATATGCGTTTTTCTTTCATATTGAAATTAAAATATCTGATAATTTATATTTTTTTTTCTGTCTTACTTACATACTTGGCTCACGCTTATTAAAAGCCATACTTGTTGCAATAGCTGTACGTGATATTAAAGCATCGTTGCGTTTAGAAGTACTCATTGAATTTGAACTATTTGCGTACGCTCGTTTGAGAACCATTAGATCTAGAGACAAAAAAAGTGAACTATTTAACTTCTTAGAGATTCACTTCTGAAGGGAATAGATTATATATATATATATAAAGGAAGAGGTGAAAGAGATCAACAATCTTTGACTCCAAATTCACAGTTTTCGATCAGATTCACAATTTTTACAAATTAAATTCGTGATTTGCAATTTGCAAGATGTCGTCGAGGTGAAATTTCAGGACAATTTCCTTTCGAGATCAGAACTATTCAGATTACAGTGTGTGTGTGTGTGATCTGTGTGAGATCTCACCAGTGGCAGTCAAGATTAGCTAGACATCACTGACATCAGCCAGTCGTGCTTGCTAGCCAGATTGTGCAATCATGATGCGATTTCATTTATTTCTACGTGAACACTATCCAACCTGGCTGGCTAGTAAAAGGAAACAGAAAAAGTGTTTATATAGTTCTGTGACAGAACATCTGGTCAATTCAGGACATTCAGCGCCATTCGAAAAATCCTTCAAAATAATATACAAGATTCGATCAAACCTATCAAAGAGAGTGAAATTAAGACATCTGGGCATATTCAAGGCACTAGGCAGCCATCCAAAAGCTCAAACCTACGCTAGGTATCCTAAAGAAATACGTTCAACCTTTGTCCCTACCATGGCCGTCGTAAACAGGTAATTCTTCTAATAATGACTATTCCATTGGCTTTCTTATCCAAACTTCCTGTTTAGTTTGCCATTTTACCATTTCTACATATTTAATCTCTGATTGCATAAACAATTATTCGTCACATTAGTTATGATCCCACCAAATTTTGTTATCCAAATATCCTGTCTATTTATTGTTGTTATTTCTACATTTCTAAACCCTAATTGCACACAATCAGTATCAATCTTCTCAGTAATTATGATGCTACTTTGTTTGAGTTTTATCCGTCCCACCACCCTGTATATTATGGTATTTTAATTCCTAGTTGTGATTTTTAGTAATTTAATCCTTTACCGGAAATTATTCTAACCGTTTGACCCACTGCATTTGCCTTTCTTCCTCTTTTTCTTTCCTTTTGCTTGTACCACATGACTGACTTCATATTAAGTGGAAAGCAAATAAAAGTCTTAGATAGTGTTATGTTAGAAGCGTTATTAAACAGTATCAGAATTCAATATATGTGTAAAACTTGGGCATTGTGGTGGTAGTAAGTAATTCCATGTTGGTTTATTTATTAGATGGATATATCATACAGTCAGTAAGTGAAACAGTATTAGTATTTACTGGATGACAAAGTTTCGAACACACACAATTCATTATTGCTGTTCATAATCATACACATCACCAATTATAATCACACGACTCCGAAACGTGAGTTGTATTGTGGTGAGAGCAGCCTGCTAGCCAATTGGTTGACATTAATCTACGTCAATGTCTAGGTCACTAATATGAGCCGTGAGAAAATATGAACAAGGCTGTTTCAACAACCAATCACAGCAAACTTAAAGGTAGGCAAATATGATTCGCAGATAGATGTCTCCACTTTCCGAAGAACTCGAAAACAACCAATCAGAAGACTGCGTTTTTCTACTTGACTAGGTTATAATAATGTATGTGAAATTTATATAAATACGTGTTGATTTTCGTAATAAAACGATCTGTTGCCTGGCTCTTGTCTTCTGTTGTTACAGTATAGTTTCCTTTGTTCTCTCCTATTTGTCGTCATTGGGATAGTAGAATTTTCCAAATATGTGACCGGACAGGTGTTGAATCATTCCTATTACACGTATTCACTCTCAGTTGATTCGATAAACAAAGCTTCCATTATTAATCAACATTCTCCACTCACCACTCTGTGACATTAGATTTTAAAACTGTCATCTTATCCCATCCAGCCTATTGTATGGTAGGTTGTGTGTAATTGCTTGTAGTGCTTGAGATAGCTGCTGAACTATTCTCTAGATTTCTTATCTTATTCGGGTCAACTAATCTAGATTTTGCTGCTAAGTTTTTATGCTTCTCGGCTAGTCTGACTCACTGACTGACCCTGTTCTCCTACTTTGACCCATCTATGTATTTGACCTGACAATCAGAGTAGACAGCGGATTAGAGATAAACTAAATTGTTTTGTCGGTTAAAGGCTCCACAAGATTGACCTTTAACCGACAAAGCTTGTTTCTAATTGAGTTTGTGATTGGTTTGAATACCTGCCACTTTTATGACTGCCTGTCTTAATAAGAACTCTGCGTAAGGTGGTTTCCAAGGTTCCTTCCTTTTATAGAATTACCAATGATTTAGATTCCTTATTGTTGGTGTTGTCATTATCCTGCGCATGTTGGACATGCATGTCTTCATTATTATTATTATCACTACTATCATTGTTTATCTTATTTTTACATTCCCCTACGGATTTCCTGGCTAATTTATTTAAAGGTTTCACTTATATACTTCACTTCGTGTCTTAGATTTTCCTTGGTACTACTTAGTTTTTGTGCCCTGTCACTTAAACATTTCACCAATCCTATTTTTTACTGACATAGGATGGGTGGGCTGATTGGAAGTCCAAATACCTGTTTGAATGTGTGGGTTTCCTGTAAACACACACACTAGTGTGTTTAACTTCCCATCCTCTTTCTTTTTCACACTGCAATCTAACATTGAAAGCTTCACTTCCTGACTTTCCAATTCATAAGTGAATTGAATCGCCTCCAGCTTTGAGTTAATGTGTTCAAAAAATCTATCTACATCTCGTGTTTTAAGTACAGTGAAAGTGTGTCATCTACATACCTCCACCATACTTTTGGGGTGGGGTGAACGTTGCACTTGCTGTGTTTTCCCACTTATCCGTGAGTACAACTGCTACGAGGTGGAGAGAGAGATTGATAACAGAAACTTTGTTTATCGAATCAACTGCATATCAACACGTGTAATAGGAATGATTCAACACCTGTCCACCCGAATATCTGCAAAATTCTACTACCCGAATGATGACAAATAGGAGAGGACAAAGAAAACTATAAAACTCAAGTTTCGAAGTCGTGTGATTATAATTTGTGATGTGTATGATTATGAACAGCAATAATGAATTGTGTGTGTTCGAAACTTTGTCATCCAGTAAGTAAGTGTCGGAATTCAGTATTCCTGCAGTAGTTAACATCATTTCAGCTTCTGAATGTGATATGTTAGCTAAGAAGTATGTGTTATTGAAACACACATGACAGCTGTCAATCAGTTTGAACGACTATGGAGAAATTTGCTTTCTACTAACAGAGTTCAACGATATTTCGTTTTGTCGTCCCGAAATCGACAACACACTGGAACTAAGGCGAAGTGTAACTCCCAGTGTTAAACCCAGTTGTAATTATAGCTAACCAAAAGTGACATTTGTCACGGTTACATTTCAAATGAAACAGTAAACTGTCAAACTGAAAACACTCAAACAACAATCATGATCTTTCTTACCACTGTGATAATCACAATCCCCTGCATAAAATACAATGCAAATGAGTAATATTATTATTATGATTATTATTCATAACTCAGTGTGCTAAGTTATTGATAATCGTTGCAATTTTATTATGACTATTCATAAATTATCACCAATGAAATTCCTTATTGTGGTTGACTGGATTATGCGTCAGACGGTGAGTGGGAAACGAGAAGACAGGTATATCCTGAACTGGTACCGACGTGAAGAACCTAGAAGACCTGGATTTCACGCAGCGATGATTTATGTTTCATGTCACACAAAATCGAAAAGAGGCAAGCGAAAACCGACAAACTGGTCAAAGAAGCAGCCGGCAAAGACAGGATTCCAGGTAAACATAGACAAGACGGAGGTTATGAAAATAACCAACCAACCAAACAACCAACAACAACAACAACAGCACCAACATCCAGCCAGCAGCCAATAACCATCAACGGGAGGGATGTGAAGGAGGTTACTTCATCCACTTATCTAGTGAGTGAGCATTGTCTCAACTACAGGATCCCGGAACGGACGAGGATGTCAAATGGAGCGAGAATCGGGTGAGGAGCGGGCGAGAAACACATTCACATCAACCTGAAACCAATCTGGAAATCTTCATCACTCAACTCAGTATCAACAACAAAATTCGGCCGGATTTTCAACACAAACACGTCAAGTCAGTCAGTTCTTCTGCATAGAATGGATCAGAAACTTGGCGAGTGGGTCACATAGAATATTTCCACCAACAGCCTGTTGCAGACGTTACCTTTATCAACAACTAACTGTCTTCGCTGGATCTATACTGAAGATCAGATGGCCGGGCTGGAAACAATCACCAACAAGAAACTATAGGAAGAAACAAATGGAAACAAGAACCAATCGCCAACCGACAAATATGCACGAGAAAGTGAAGAGGTGAACTGGACACTCTCTGAGGAGGCCGCCGCTGGTGACATCGCGCGCGCGTCAGGCGATTGCTCGAGTGGAACCCGGAAGAGAAGCACGCGGCGAGTGAGCCGTCAGTGCAAGGGTGACATTGAGGAGATCGTGTGAAGAGGAGTTGAAACAGTATGGACTAACATGGATGATTCGGATGATAAGTAAGCACAGCAGAAGACAGAAACAAGTGGAGAGATGCAGTTGAAGCCCTATGTTCTACTAGGAATCCAAGGGAACAATAATAATATAATAATAATAATAAGTGTGTGTAACTTTCCTCCCCTGGGAATAGCTATTATTGCCATTTTATTACCACTTTTCGTTGAAATCCAGTCAGTAAATCAGTTATTTAGTTAATTAATCACTTTATCGGTGAAATAACAATTAAAAGGTGACCTTATTTTCAGTTGATGGAATTTTCAAACATTCGAATGTTTAAAATCATATCTGTATATCTCCAACTTAAGATTTTCAGCGATTTGAATGGTCTCACAGAGGTTGTATTAATTTAATCGGTGGATAGTGATTAGCAGTGGAATCCAGAATAACGCACATTTCGTCCCACCTGGGACTCGGTATCTGGATGTACCTGCATTCCCCAGTGAGTGATTTTATTTTCTGATTTTATTTT